AACTCACGAACTGTGAAATCATGACCTGAGCCAAAGTTGGATTCCTAACCAACTGAGCCACGCAGGCGCCCCCTAATTTTTATTTATTCATTTTGAGAGAGAGTGAGAGAGTGCACATGCATGAGCAGAGGAGGGGCAGAGAGAGAGAGGGGGAGAGAGAGAATTCTAAGCAGGCTGTGCACCATCATCACAGAGCCCACCATGGGGCTCGATCCCACAAACAGTAAAATCATGACCTGAGCCAAAATCAAGAGTTAGACGCTTAGCCAACTGAACCACCCAGGAGCCTCAGAACTTAGTGGCTGCAGTTATCTGAAGGCTTGATCAGGACTGGCAGATCTGTCTCCCAAGATGGCTCATTCACAGGGCTATTGGCAGGAGGCCTCAGTTCTTCACCACGTGGGCCTCCCTAGAGGCTGCTTCAGTGTCTGCATGACATGTCAGCTAAGTGACTTAATCTTCAAAGTCACACCATCCTGATTTATTCTGTTAGAAGTCAGATGCTAAATCTAAGCCACCCTTAAAGGTAAGGAATTAAGGCTTCCCTTTTTGAAGTGAAAAGTATGAAAGAATTTGTGGACATCATTTACAACCACCATAATTACAAAAGTACAAAAAGTAACTTTAGAATGTAAACTTGGTCAACCCTCCTTAATCAAGGAATCAGAGTGCATATCATCAGTAATAAGACAAATTGCCATCTTGTGTCACCTGGTAGGAATATGGTGAGAAGGACACAGCCCATTTCTGTTACATTCCTGCCAAGAGGCATGGCTTGAATCTAATCATGTAGAGATCTCAGATGTGGTAGTTGACCTCCAAGATAACCCCCAATGATCCCTGCCTTTTGGCATTCACACTCTTGTGCAGTCTCCTTTCAGGTTATTCTAGGGTTGGCCTGATGACCAACAGAATACAGCAAAGGTGATGCTATGTCATTTTCAAGATTAGGTTATAAAAAATTATGACTTCTTTCTTAAGTTGCCTTGGTCACTCCCTCTGGGGAAAACCGTGTTGTAGGCAGCCCTATCTGTGGAGAGGTCAACAGGCAGGGAACTGAAGCTTCCTACTGATAATCGCATGAGTGAGCTTGAAAGCAACTCAAATTGAAGCACATTCTACAAAATAACTGGCCTGTAATCTTCAAAATTGTTAAGGTCATAATAAGCAGGATACGACTAAGGAACTCATTAGACAGAAGGAAATCAAATAGACTTTACAAAGGCAACGTAGATGCTGAATTGGATTTTGCTATATAGAACATTATTGGGACGTTTGATGTCCCTTAAATGTAAGGGTCTGAAGATTAAATGGTAGGAATGTATCTATTTTAATTTCTTGACTTTGATGGTTACTTTGTTACCTAGAAGAATATCCTAGTTTATAGAAAAATGCAATGAAATATTCTGAGTTGATGAGTCATCAGTTTGGCAGTTTACAAATGATACAGGAAAAATAGTTCTTTGAACTGTACTTAGAAGTTTTCTATAAGGGTATGATTGTTTGAAAAGTTTTAAGAGCTACATAAAGGAAAGCAATATTTTAATACATGTTATCTGGTATAGCTGTGCATTGAATTCTGTTGTATAAATACTTATGAGTGGAACTACTGGATCATAGAGTGTACATCTCTTTAACTATAGTATATTTTTTTTCAAAATGGTTGTACTGGTTTGCATTCATACACACAATGAATATGTGTTCCTCTTGCTATGTATCTTTGCTAACATTTGTTATTCTCAGTTTTTAATTTTATTCTTTCTGGTACGTACGTATGCCTTGGTATCTTTGAGCATTTAATATGCTTTTCTTTGATTAGTAAAGAGCAACTTTTTTTAAGTTTATTTTAATTAATTTTGAGAAAGAGCAAGTGGGGGAGGGGCAGAGAGGGAGAGGGAGACAGAATCCTAAGCAGGTTCCATGCTGTTGGTGCATAGCCTGATGCAGGGCTTGAACTAACAAACGGTGAGATCATGACCTGAGCCAAAATGAAGAATCAGACACTTAACCGACTGAGCCACCCAGGCACCCCTAAAGAGCAACTTTTTATATGTTTATTATTGATTTGTGTTTCCCAGGCCCATTTTTGTGCAGTCTTCCCATTTTCCACTTCATCTTATTTTTCTATGATGTGTCATTTTCTTGGTGATTTGTAACATCTTCTCCAACTTCTTGGCTTCCCTTTTTTTTTATTATTTATTATTTTTAAAATTTTTATTTATTTTAAAGGCTTTTTAAGTTTATTTATCTTGAGAGAGACAGGGACAGCACAAGTTGGGGAGGGGCAGAGAGAAGGAGAAAGAGAATCCCAAGCAGGCTTTGCACTGCCAGTGCCGAGCCCGATGTGGGACTCAGTCCCTTGAACCGTGAGATGATGACCTGAGCCGAAACTAAGAGTTGGATGCTTAACCTCCCGAGCCACCCAGACGGCCCTTCCCCTTTTTTTCTCTCTAAATCGTTTTTTAAGTTTATGTATTTATTTTGAAAGAGAGAATGCACGTGCATGAGAGAGTGGGGGAGGGGCAGAGAGAGAGGGAGAAAGAATCCCAAGTAGTCTCTGCACTGTTAGTGCTTGGCTTCCCTTTTTACTCTCTTTATGTTATATGTATACATACATATATGTGTGTGTGTGTGTGTGTGTGTGTGTGTGTGTGTGTGTGTGTGTGTGTGTGTGTATAATTTATTTATTTTTATAGAGAGAGAGAACCAGCAGGGAAGGGGCAGAGAGGAGGAGAGGCAAAGGATCAGATGCAAGCTCCTTACTGACAGCAGAGAGCCCGACTTGCGGCTCGAATTCATGAACCATGAGGGCTCGAAGTCACAGACCACGAGACCATGACCTGAGCCAAAGTGCGACACTTAACCAACTGAGCCAGCCAGACACCCTTTGCACTTTTTGTTCATTTGTTTGTTTATTTTTAATCTCCTCACCCAACGTGCGGTTCAAACTCACGACCTCAAGATGATGCTCTTCCAAATGAGTCAGCCAGGTGCCCCTCCAAGTCACCTTTTTTATACCATCTTGTAAAACATGTATTCTTTGACCAGTCTGTAATCAATGTTTGTATATGGTAGAGAGTAAAGTCTCATTTTTTCCATATGTATAACCAGTTGTCCCTGTACACTTAATAACCTATCTTTTCTCCCACTGCTGTCTAGTGCCATGGTTGTCATAAAATAAGTATTCTTACATACATTAGTCTATTTTTGGGCAGTCTGTTTTGTTCCATGGGCTTGTGTATCTTTGCTCCAATTTCATATTTTTAATTGGTATAGCTGTATCATTAAGTCAATGACTTTTAATCTAAGTCTTCTCCCACTTATTCCTTTACAAGAGCATTTTGGCTATTCTTGGCCTTTTCCATATACATTTTAGAATAAGTTGGTTAACAAAACAAACAACCTGTTTTGATTTTCATTGGCATTGCTTTGAATCTATTGATCAGTTTGTGGAGAATGGACATTTTGAAATTATCAAGTTTTCTTGTGAACATGGTATATTTTTCCATATAGCCACTTACTTAGATGTTTAATTTCTCTCATGATGCTTATATTGTGCAAAGAACTCTTGTACATATTTTCTTTGTATCTCTACGTATTTGATATTTTTCAGGAAATTATAAATATCACCTTTTAAAATGTCATCTTAACTGTTTTTGTTATAGAATCCTGCTGAATCCTACTTGCTGCTTGTTTTGGTGGGCTCTCAAGAATGTTAATTACAGGGCGCCAGGGTGGCTCAGTCAGTTAAACATCTGACTTTGGCTCAGGTCATGATCTCACGGTTCATGAGTTTGAGTCCGGCATCTGGTGAGCTTGTGCCCACTTTGGGTGAGCAGGAGCCCCACTTCAGATGAATACAACCCTGCTTCAGATGAACATGAGCCGCACTCCTCTCTTTCTTTCTCTCTCTGCCCCTCACTCACTTGCACCCTCTTTCAACTAAAAAAAAAAAAAAAAAGAATGTTAATTACATGTATATATGTATGGTCAGTTGGATAGTAGGAAACACTAACTTTCAACCTCAAATGAGTGAAATGTTATCTTCTAGAAAAGAATTCCATTCTTCTCCCTAGTAAACCTCCTTTATGTGGAATATTTTTATTAATAACATATTTGTGGAATTGGGTTTTCTCTCAGGTAAGTACTTACATAATAACCTCAATTTTACCTCCTTATTGGCAAAGCCTAAAATTTTTGCTATCTGACTCTTTACAAAGTTTGCTGACCACAATCTGAAATCTTGCTGATCTTGTGAATTCTAACTATTTCAAAATACTTTATCTGTAGATTCTTTGGATTTGCCATGTACATAATATGTCATCAGTGAGGAATGAACATTTTATTTTTTCCTTTCCAATTCTTTTCATCTATTTGACTTTACTTGCTGCATCTTAATCCAATTTCAGGGATTATAGGATTGGGATTTTTCTTTTTCTCCTAGATGAGTAGAAGCTGAGCTGTATTCTATATACACTTAGTTTATTCTCAGAGTATAAATCTTCAGAGACCTAACCCTGGATACATAGTTTATCTCCGTGGCTTGTTATAATGAGGTTTACCCCGCTGAGCAAACACTTCCAGCTCAAGTTGACTTAAATACAGAGCTGACTGCTGTGGATTTCCATTTTCTTCCATATTTTGGCTTGGTTAGATTCTTCACCCCGTTGTTAGTTCTCTGATGCCTCAAGCAGATTGTTAAAAATGTTTTGACTGTCTTTTCTATTTCTGAGCTGAGGAGTTGGTCTGCCTAGTCTGCCATTACTGGAATGGAATTGAGGAATGAAGATTTGAATGGAGTTCTAACTCCCAAGGTCCATGTTCTTGACTACTTAGTATCCTGCCTTCTAATTAAATCTGACATAATAAACAAAGTATAAAATTATGTTTATATTTGACCTTAAAAATATTTACATTATGTGTACTTTTAAGGATAGAAAATGTCAAGTCAAAATCTTAAGTCCTGTATTCTATTTTCTTTCTGTTCTTTTGCTCTGCAGTGAAGCAAATAAGCAACATGTAAGATGTCAGAAATGCTTAGAATTTGGACATTGGACTTATGAATGCACAGGAAAAAGAAAATACCTACATAGGCCTTCAAGAACAGCAGAACTAAAGAAAGCTTTAAAAGAAAAAGAAAACAGATTATTATTATTACAACAAAGGTAAGTGTACATGTGGGAGTTTTTTTCTTTTTTCTTTCTTTCTTTTTTTTTTTTTTTAAGTAGGCTTCAGACCCAATGCAGAGCCCAGTGCAGGATCTGAACCCACAACCACAAGACCTGAGCTGAGATTAAGAGGCACACACGCAACCAACTGAGCCACCCAGGCACTCTCCAAAGGAGTATTTTTATTTATAGAATTTATTAAACAACTAAATGTCTCATGGTGGTTATCCAGATTTAGATTATAGTATAGGCTAACATTTAATGAGTGCTTACTATGTCCTAGGTGCTATATAAGTTCTTGACACCTATTAGCTTATTCGAGCATCACATCTGTACAATTAATGTACGTACTATTATCCCCATTTTACATGTGAAGAAACTGGAGCCTGGAAAAGTTCAGTTACTTGTCAGTGTCACACATTCAGTTAGTGGAAAGATTAAGTGTTAAACCAGCCAGGCCTTGTTCTTAATCATTGTACTTTATTGACTTAACTGCCAGTGAAATGACAGCAGACTATGAGGTAGGTTATATGAGCCATCAACCTGAAAGATAAAATGGCCAGTTGTTATTTTACCAGCAAAATGAGTTTATTCGGGAATAGTAAAGGCATTGCAATCCGGGACAAACAAACCATAGCAAACCATAGGCAGGTCCAGGGAACAAAGGAGAAGGGCTTGCTTTTATTGGGGAAAAGAGGAAATTGGGAAGGGCTGTTTGTGTTTTAAGTTCATTTATTTATTTTGAGAGAGACAGAAACAGTGCAAGTGGAAGAGGGGCAGAGAGAGTGGGAGAGAGAATCCCAGACAGGCTCCTCACTGCCAGCCCAGAGCCCGAAGTTGGGCTTGAACTCACGAAACAGTGAGATCATCACCTGAGTCAAAAGCGAGAGGCAGATGCTTAACCGACTGAGCCACCCAGGTGCACCAAGAAGGGCTGTTTTAAACAAAAGTCCATTGGAAGAGAATAAGAGATCAAGATTCTCATTGGACAACTGTGGCAGTTTCTCCTGGCTGTTGCTATTGCTAGACAAGAAGAAAACTGTCCTTCCTCCTGCTGGAATGGTAAAAGTAAGCTACTTCCTACTGAAGAATGCAAGGTACTATTCTTCATGTTGGGGTCTGCTGTTAATGACGAGTGGTAGTGTGTGAGAACCCCCCTTTAGAGCTTCCCAACTCATTTTTTATCCAGTTCCCTTTATTGTTATAGAGTCGATATGGAAAGACATCCAAGATACTTAAACTAAGTATATAAATAGGATAGAAAACAGTATATATAATATGCTATCATTTATGTTAAAAAAGGAGAGAAGGAATAATGAAATTTTTTTGGAAATATAAAAGAGTCATAATAGTGGCTCCATTCTAAAAAAAATTTTTTTACGTTTGTTTATTTTTGAGAGATAGATAGAGATATCACAAGCGGGGGAGAGGCAGAGAGAGAGGGAGACACAGAATCCAAAGCAGGCTCCAGGCTCTGAGCTGTCAGCACAGAGCCCGACACAGGGCTCAAACTCACGGACCAGGAGATCATGACCTGAGCTGAAGTTGGACACTCAACCAACTGAGCCACACATGCGCCCCATAGTGGCTCCATTATAGAAGGAGAACTGGGTAGGAGGGACCTGGAAATGTGTTACTACCCTTTTGTGTCCTTTGAATAAAGCTTTTAAAATTGCTTTGAAATAAGTAAGTAAACATGTTTTAGAAACTGAAATGGGAAGGTGTCAGGTGTACTCAGTGCTACAGATGAGAAGCAGCATCTTCATAAGGACTGTTAGCTATATAATAGTGTCTTAAACACATGGACTTTCAAGGTAGCAGTCTCCCAATTTGTGGAAATGAATGCTCCTCAAGGGTTATGCAGGAATAGATAGGTAATCAATTTCTAGGTCATCAACATTCATACATACTTTTTCAAAACTAAATTTGTATGAGAACTTGCCTGCCAGTTCTCCTTTTCCATTCTCTTTCTTCATGTGTGAAAACATTTTTCAAAATAGTGGTATATGTACAAAGAAAGTGAATAGCTCTAATTATTAGGAGCAAATTCTTTTGTAATTTTTTTTTCCCCCAGGAAACCTGAAGGAAGACCTAATTGAGCTGCCAATTTAAAAGTATATTTTAATTTATTATTTTTTTAAATGTTTATTTATTTATTTTGAGAGAGAGCACAGCAAGCACAAGCAGGGGAGGAGCAGAGAGAGAGAGAGAGAAAATCCCAAACAGGCTCCGTGCTGCCAGCACAGAGCCCGACACATAGCTCAAACTCACAAAACATGACGTCATGACCCGAGCTGAAATCAGGAGTCAGCCACTTAACCAACTGAGCCACCCAGGTGCCCATAAAAGTGTTTTTTAATCATACATTTTTGTGACTCATGGAATACAACATTGGAGGAATTCAAACAGTGACATTGCTACAACAAAACTCTATTCCCAACTGTTGAGGTTAAGAAGGTTTCTTAGGGTCAAATCTATACAAATTAAATATAGGAATTGAATTAATGCTGAACCTTGTTGGAATTTAGCAATAAGATCCATGGATACACTAAGTGGAAAAACACTCGATGTCATTAAGAGATGCATTTCCAATAAATTTACTTTGATGTGTAATACTTATTAAAATTTGTAATGTATTGGGGCACTTGGGTGATTCAGTCAGTTAAGTGTCCAACTTTTGATCCTGGCTCAGGTCATGATCTTATGGTTTCATTGGTTCAAGCCCCGTGTCAGGTTCTGCACTGGTGGCCTGGAGCCTGCTTGGTATTCTTTCTCTTCCTTTCTCCTTCTCTCTCTCTCAAAATAAATAAACTTTAAAATTTATAATGTATTTCTACATTGTTTTAATCAATTGTATTATCAGTATGGTTGCTCAATTCAGAATTTTTAAACACTTTTAAAGTCTTAGGATCATATGCAATTAAAAAATACAATTTTAAGTTAGGTCTCTGTTTTTATTGCCGAGAAATACCATAAGTGATCACTAAAAATCTTTGCCATAAAAATATATTAGGATACTTTCTGTACAAGTTCAGGGGTACCTGGCTGGCTCAGTCAGTGGAGCATTTGACTCCTGATCTCAGAGTTGTGGGTTTGAACCTCATGTTGAGTGTGGAGCCTACTTTAAGAAAAAGAAAACAAAAAGAAAAAAAAGTACAAGTTCAGTGAGGAAAAAAGACAGTGTAAAAGTACCAACTGTTAAAGATAAGCTTGTTCATAATTTTTGAGTGAATTACAGTAGGTATCAAATTATTGTGGCATTTACTTTCCATTGGATACAATTACCAAATGATATAATAATTTTCTTTTAAAATTATATATATGAGATGAGTCATTACACTTTTCGTTAATATTAAAACTTGGATTTAAAAAAGGAAGAGGCAAAAAAAGTTTTTCAAATTCTTTATTAAGAATGTAAGAGGGCTGTGCCTGGTGGCTCAGTTGGTTAAGTGTCCAACTCTTGATTTTGGCTCAGGGCATGATCTCAGTTCATGAGATTAAGCCCTGTGTCTTTCAGCTCAGAGCCTGCTTGGGATTTTCTCTGTCCCCCTCTCTCTCTCTTCATCTCCCCTGCTGGCATATGTGCTCTCTTTCACACACACAAAATAAATAAACATTTTTTAAGAAAAGAATGTAAGCAAAAGGGAGGCACCTGGGTAGCTCATCAGTTGAGCATCCAGCTCTTGTTTTCAGCTCAGGTCATGATCCCAGGGTCATGGGATTGAGCCCTGCGTCAGGCTCTGCACTGAATATGGAGACTGCTTGGGATTCTTTCTTTCCCTCTCTCTCTGCCCCTCTCCCCTGCTTGTGCTCTGTCATTCTCTCTCTTAAAAAAAAAAAAAAAAAAAAAGAACATAAGCAAAAAATGTTTGAAGAGCCCTGTCCTAAAAAAATATAGGGGTGCCTGGGTGACTCAGTCAGTTGAGCCTCCGACTTCAGCTCAGGTCATGATCTCAGGGTTTGTGGGTTCAAGCCCTGCACCAGGCACACTGCTATCAATGCAGAGTCCACTTCTGATCCTCTATCCCCTTCTCTCTCTGCCCTTCCCCTGCTTGTGCTCTCTCTCTCCAAAACAAACATTAAAAAAATTTTTAATAAAGTATAATAGTTATGAATAATTTCAACATTTACTTTGTTTTTCTAGTTGTATGGTATGAATATCTTGTTCTTAAAAATACATAAAACTAGGGGCACCTGGATGGCTCAACCAGTTAAGTGTCTGACTCTCAGTTTCGGCTCAGGTTATGATCTCATGGTTGGTAAGAGCCAGCCCTGCATCGGGCTCTGTACTGACAGTGTGGAGTCTGCTTGGGATTCTCCCTCTCTCCCTCTGTCTGCCCCTCTGCCCCTCTCAAAATAAATAAATGTTTTAAAAAAAAATACACAAAACTACATGAATTTTAGATATGGCTCTATTAGATAAAAACTGCTGATTTTTGGTTCACTGATAAAATGATGAAAGTGTATGAATCTCAGTGATCATCAATTTTTCTGGTGTGATTGATAAATGTACTCCTACCACTTATTTTACCATGAAAATAACAATTGTAGTAATTCCATTATGTGAGACAACTTTACATAAATATATATTTATATTCAAAGACTCAAAAAATAAGGATACAAACATTATCTAGGAAATACAGAGAAGTCAAGAATATAAAAATGTTAAATTTACAGGACAGTGCTATAGTAATAGAAGTAGTTATGTAATTTGAAAACCCGATATAGCATGTATATTTGGCAGAAATATAGCAGCAAACCATTCGTATATTTCATTCAAAAATCATCAGACTTTGTTCTTTATAAATAATGTGAGTAGGGGCGCCTCGGTGGCTCAGTTGGTTAAGTGTCTGACTTCAGCTCAGATCATGGTCTCATAGCTCATGAGTTTGAGCCCTGCATCGGACTCTGTGCTGACAGTTCGGAGCCTGGAGCCTGTTTCAGATTCTGTCTGTCTGTCTGTCTGTCTGTCTGTCTCTCTCTCTCTCTGCCCCTCCCCCTCTCGCGTTCTCTTTGAAAAATAAATAAACGTTA